CTCTTTCAGTTTCCCCAAGTGCAATATTCTTTGAGCTACAAATATATAACCTACTGCTCCAAAAGCACACATGCAATGCCGAGTCTTGTACAGTGGGGTTCAGTTAAGATTTTTTGAATGAATGAGCTTGAAACTACTGTAACTGAACATCAGCACTCTGGATGCCCCAGGCAGGGCATCATGAGTCAGAATCCACTGAGATGGAATGGACACTTGACACCAATGTTCCATTGGGAATGCTGAGGCATTGTCCACCTTCCTCTTGTTCTCGACCATGGCCTAAAATCTAAGCTTATTCAATTAGTATCTCCTCCCACGCATTCTACCCAATCCTGTTCTGTGTGCTCTGCCTGCTACTCCCCTCCCTCTCAGTCCTTTTCTCTGAGGAACAATGCCTTTCCCTCTGAGCCTAGCTGTCCTGGAATCACTCCTGTCCCTGCAACCTCCAGCGGTGAGGTGGGAGGCGCCACCTCGCTCCCTGACTCTGTTTCCAAACCACTGTATCCCATCTTTCCATGAAAACCTCTCTTCCTCTGAAGTTCATGCCACGCATCTATAACTCCATCATGCCCCTTCACTACTGTCATCTATGCACCATGACGGCTGGCAAACAGTAGGCACTCAACAAATACTGGTTGAATGGTTGACTCTTTGAATAAATGACTGATTGAATAAAGCTGTTTCCTTGGTCACTCTTCTGCATTTATTTGAGGCTTTCATTGCCTGGCTCACTATGCATCTTTTCCTATCATGATTTTCAGTGAAGTGCCCATGGAGGTCCAAACAAAAAATCCCAGCTCTCTCACAATCCCTTGATCTCCTCAGTGACTTACCTTCCCCTTTACTAACTTTGACCATCCTGGTCACACCCAGAACTGCTCCATGTCCTCTTGTTTGACCACAACCTCTGATGCTTTTAGGTCTCATATCCCACCTCTCATCCCTTGATACTCTGATTTCCCCATAGTCTTTTCCTGGCCGTGCTTCCCTCCCTACCCGTCCTAAACTGCTCTCTTAAAATGCAATCAACACCCTCCACCCTCCTGCTTCCCTTCAGTTCTGCCTAATTCATTTGCATGTGGGCCTAACGTGAAGCCTGGATCATGACCTGTCTCCTTTGTATCTGGCCTGGACTTCTGAGTATGGCTAGGAAAAACATAACCTTGAGGCCTGGTGCCAATGCCCATTGCTTGTCTCTGTAGGATCTTCAACAGCTAGACCAGGCTTGTCCTAGTGCTTGGTCAGCCATCTCTCCCACACTCCCAGTCACTCTTCTCCAACTCTAACCCCACCCTGCCTCATTCACAGGAGACAACCTCGCTTCTTCCTTTATCAGACATGTAATTCCTCCACTTTCTGTCTTCCTCACCCATAAACTGGTCTACTTCTGAAACCTGCCTAGTATCTCCTTCCAGAATCAGCACCATTTTTTTCATTTCTATTCCACAGCCAGTCTTCCACAGGACTCTTGACCTCATTTCATTGCCTCTGAACCTCTGTTTCTTCAATTATTTCACTCAAAAAATATCTCTCAGGAAGATTACTACACACTGGGCCCTGTTCTAGATGGTGGGATACAGTAGGGAAACCAAGACAGACAAAATCCTCTCATTGGGGGGGTGGGGTAGTAGGTATGAAGAACAAACAATAAATAAGTAAAAACTTTAAATAAACAAGATAATTTATCTTTTCATAGATCTCATCCATGGAACAGCATCCATGGAATGCTGCCAGCCTCAGCATTCCCAATGGAACTAACTAGTGCTGATCTTTGAAGGAGGAACTCCTTCACTGTGAGAAGTAAACCTCTTCATCAGTTCTCACGCCTCCGATGAGCCCTGGTCTCATTCTAAAGGCAGCCATCCAACCTTCCTTGCCCTCGCATTGACCTAGTTACATCTTTCTTTTTCCTTTCCCTGTCGGCGTTTTTTAAAGATTACTCTACAAATGCTGTCTCTACATTCTTTCTTTTTTATTTAGTCGACTTTTTAGTTGAAAATGTAATGCGTGCATAAAACAACAACAAAACTGTAGAAAAGGCTATGGTACTTCTTAACTGTCCAGTCACTCTTCAACCTACCATAACCCAGCTTCTGGTCTGCAGCTCCACTAAATATCTTCTGGTAAAAGTATCTGATGACTGTCCTCCAGGGCCAAGTCCAAATGGACTTTTCCAGCATCACCTTATCAAACCTCAGCACTCCTGACCCCCATCACCTCCCTTGCGATCACAACACAAGCTATTCCTTGGCTCTTCCTTTTCTGGTGCCTCTTAAACACTGAAGTTAAACACAGTTCCACCTTTCCCATGTTCTCCTTATGTAAGCACCCACCTTAGGTAGGCAGACCATATAATTCTTAAGATCCTAATGGGATGCCTTTGAGAGAGAAAGAGGACAGTGCTAATAATTACTACTCTTGAATAGCAGGTATAAACTGAGACTGCCCCAAACAAACTGGGATATATGGTCACCCTATTCTTAGGAGATCACATCCACTGTTATGGTTTTAATTAACACTATCAACCATTTGCAAAATTAAACCTGTAGCCTTGATACTGACATTTAAGCTTTATTTTCCAAATCTTCAGGTTATAATTTCTTACAGATATCTCAAATTCAGTATGGCCAAAACTCAAATTAATCATTTCTATTCCTAACCCTGCTAATCCTTATATTTCCTATCTAAGTTATATATATTACTCAGTCACTCAACTCTTCAAGCTGGGGATCATTTTAGACTTCCTCTTCTTCCTCATCCATCATATTTAATCACCAAGACATGCTGACTTTAGTTTTGAAGATTTTTCTAATGTACAATTTTTCCCCCGGACTACTGCCATTACCTTTTAACTGATTTCCTTGCTCTAGTCTTCTCTCCTCTGAGTCTGTTTTCCACACTGCTACCCGAGTGATCTAAAACTGACCACACTCCTGCTCTGAAGCTTTCAATAGCTTCCTATCACTTACAGGATAAAGACTTCCATCATGATCCCATTCCTGTTCACTTCTTCATTCTCATAACCTGTTAGCCTCTCTCTCCCTTTGCACTCTAAAAACACCAAATAGCTTGTAAAAAAACACACAAACACAACCCCCCATTAAGCTGTTTCTCACTTGCAAGCCTTTGTTCATGCTGTTCCCTCTGCCTGGAATGCAGATCCCCTTATTTAGCTTGCTAATATCTACGCCATTTTCTCTAGTCACTCACAGCTGACCTGCAGGGGAGCTCAGTGCCTCTCCTTTAAACTTCCATATCACCTGTCCACACCTCAACCACAGCACCGGATATGTTAGTTTGAAATTAATTATGTCAGTCTTTCCTACCCAGTTGGTAAGCTTCTTGAGGACAGGAACAGTGCCCCTTAAATACTCAAAAAATAGTCACCCTATTTTTAGGAGGTCTCATCCACTGTTATGGATTTAACCAAGCAAATTAAAATAAGTTGGACTAAATATTGAAATGAATAAACAACTTCATTACCCCTGCATTTTTCCACATGTGCCCATATGTTTTACAATGTCATCAGTAGAGGGATTAAAAATGTGTAAGGGCTTCAGCAGACAAAAATTCACCTGTTTTATGAAATTAATTTTAAAAAGTCAATCTTAGCATAGGAAACAAGATGATTAAGTTAGAAATACAGTTGTGATGTGCCAAAGTTAAGGAAAAGCAAATACACAATTGTTTAAGATTACAAAAAATCAGAATACATTTCAGTAGTTGTTTGATTTGGAGAATTTTGTGAAAATATTATCCAAGAGCATTTTTTTTTATAAAAGAGGTTTCTCATTCCTTTTGTTTTTTATCACTTACATTAAAAAAAAATCACACAACTTTAAAATAGGAGATTAGTACAGAATATCCTAAAATCTAATACCCATCAAATCTACCCAAACATCCTTCTCTACTTTCCAGATGTTTCCATGTTCTTATAAGATTAGCTCTGACTCAGAAAGAAGGAACTTTTCACTTTGTCTGTCAAAACCCAAACTATCTGACCTTCAAGGCACAGAAAAAAACCCACAGTTTTTGGATAAAATGTAGTGTTCCTGTCACTTATTCATTCAAGTAATTTGGGTGGAATTTAAAAAGTATAATCTAAAATTTTAAAGAATATTATTAGTGTTACCAGAGGCATAACAACATCTGGCACAACTGGTATTCAACGAACAAATAAAGAGAACCACATAGAAGTTAAGAGGCAAGATTATGAATGATTCAAACAGTTTATGTTCTTCTGAGAAAGTCCTACCCGTGTGATTCTTTTTTTTAACTTCCTATTTAATCATCACTTTGTGCAATCTTTCCTAATCATATTTTGGCTTACAAATCTTGTTTTGTGAACCGTGATTATTTTTCTGAGAAGGAAAACAATTGGAGGTATTTTGAAATTTAAAACATGCTGTTTTTTTCATGCTGAGGATTATCAGCCTATTCAGAAGGGAGAGGCACTGGCTTTCCAGCCATGGCAAGCACCCTAGGCTAGATCTGAGGAGATGCGAATACGTCTACCATTTGGCCCCCTAGTGAGAAATACATTTGGCCAAAATATAGCTGAGAAGAAGTTAAAATATCTTTAAATGTAATATTTATTTTTATTGGCAAGTTGTTGATACTATAAAAACAGCTCTAATCTCCTGAAAAATAACCTTGAATACTCCTTACCTGTCAGAAGGTGGAGCTCTAAACATATCTGAAATATTGGCTTTTTATATGTGAGTTTCACAAATGTGTGTAATGAGGAGATTAAAGCAGGAGTAAAGTCTTTAGAAAAATCGTTCTGAAGAATATTCCAATTCTCTCAGGATAAAATCACCCACGTCTCCCAATACACACATGGTTAACTAACAAAAAAGATATTTACTATGTTCCTTTGAAACGTCAATATATTGCCTACTCTAAAAATATAGGTATGGTAATTCAGAATAAAAGATAAAGTATATTTAAAAACACATTTTAAAAAATAAGAACCACCTACTTGAATCACTAATACTTACAAGCATCTCGGATGTAGAGTAACATGGCTATGAAGATATAATCGACTAAACTCAGGCTTAGGCCGTCTGCAAACAAGGCATCCCAGACAACCAGAAGATCCTGCAGGGGGAACTCTCGTCCAAACAGCAGCCGTACCCACCGTCTGGAGAGGAACAAAACCAAAATTCAGAAAACAAGACTTCTGAGAGTAACATAAAGAGGAATCATTTTCTCTTGTAACTGTGAAAAAAATTATAATTTTTAACAGATCACACTCAGCAAATATTATATATCAAAAATATAATACAGTAAAATCCAAGTTTTAAGCTTTCAAATGAATTTTGCAATTTTATAACTAGGCCACATCATTAAACTTTATTCCTGTATGTATAAAACACAAGTACGATATTTGAAAAGGGTAGAAATCCTTCATATTTAATAGAAATCACAAATCTCAAAAAGGCAAAGAGAAAAATGAATATATAGTGTTCTTATAGTTGCCTCATATGCAAGGTTATGAGGTAAAAAATACAATTTTCCAAAATTTTATGATCACTACTGATTTTTGTCTTTGGTTAACTGGGCTTTTGCAAATGGTTATATGACCAATTATTATAGCCAAACAGAAAACTGCATTCTTACATTTCACTCCTATTTAAAAATAGTCATTTTAAAATTATATGTGGAAAAAAACCAGTAGATATCTGTTTTTTTGTCAAGCGTAGACAGTTATTTCAAATGAACATTGAGTGATACTTAATTTTTAACTTTAGAATAGATATGCCTTATCAGTGAGGTTATCTTTCTAGGGGTGTTTTCAAAACACAGTCACTTCTATGGCCAGGAAAATGGATATCTATGCTACAGAGCAGACATAAGCAGCTAATAATACTAAACGAGGTCTGTATATAATTACATATCATAAACAGGAAGACTTCAGACTTTCAATAAATGCTAAACTAAGCTATTTAATTCTTATAAGAAAATTAAAATAATTCACTTTGATATGTTTTTAACCACTTACTTCCAATTTTATATAACATGGCCACAATTTCCTCACACAAGCTTTTCTCTAAGACCTTCAGCTAGAATTCTATGTGATTCTGGCACATAGCAAAGAATCAAAAATTCCAAATTTCTAGTACCACCAAACAGTACAGAATAGAGGAAATTCTTTAAAAATTAGTTAAGAGATATTACCTCTTAGCAAAATTCGAAATCAAATATAACCATCTGTGGGGTTAAAATGAGGCCAAAAAAAAAAAAAAGAAATCAAATACTTTCTTCAGAGTGTATTACATTTAAGGGGGAATCAAAGCTGTGACAAAATAGTGCATAATCACACATGCATATCACCGTTTATTAGGAACCATATAATCAAATACTTAAATTTTTTAATTCATATTATCAAATTAATCAACAGAATAATTAAAATTTATTTTCAACTAAATCTTAAATTATGTTACTCAATTTTTCAGGAAAAAAATTTAATGTCTAAGTAACATTTATCTTTTTAAAAATGTTACAGTGTCATTTACAATTTTTATCTATCTTTCAATTCTTACTCCACAGCTAATACGAGAGGTGACTAAAACAAAATACATTCTTTTGTCTAATAGGCCTGCATTTACATGGCTTAGGAAAAAACATTATATCTCTACATATTTCTAGTTCTCTCAAATTACAAATGCTAATATTTGCTGTTTTAAGAAGTACAAAAATATTTCTAAATTAAATAGGTTGCTCTTCTTAATTACAAAGAATTAACTGGTCTCAAAAAGAGTATCAGGGGAACCAGAGAATGCGCAAAGCAAAAAGTATTGGCATTAAACCATTTTGGGCACCTGTTTAAAGGATCTTTAAACTGATAACTATATCTGAATTATTAAATGACAAAAACATTTAGAACATGGTTATTCACAGTTATTCAACTGACAAGACTAGAAAAAAAAATTCATCAATGAAAAAAACTGATGAGGATCTAACATATAAGATGGTGACTATGGTTGATGATGCTGAATTGAATAACTGAAATTTGCTAAGATAGTATGACTTACATGTTCTCACCAAAAAAAAAAAGATAAGCATGTGAGGTGACAGATGTGTGAATTAAATACATGGGAGGAATCCTTTCACAACATACATGTACATCTAATCAACATGATGTACACGTTAAATATCTTACAATTTTATTTGTCAATTATACCTCAGTAAAGCTAAAAAATATAAATAAATACATAAATAAATAAATATCTTGGCTTAATGGATAGACAAATTTTGCCAGTTTCAAAACTGAACATTTAACTGATTCCTCCTGGTTCGGATCTGGACGCCAGTAGAAAATTCATGCATCACCCCTACAAAATAGTACCGTAACTTGAACTTGCCCCTGTCATTCTAGGAAGTCGTTTTAATGCTTTCCTTATTTGAATATGCCCGTTTAGTAACTACTGCTGCTGTTTCTTGAAAAACATTGCTTTTGCTTAGCCTTCTTATGTGTAGGGGAAAAATTTTCTGTGCGTTTTCCTTGCTATCTCCTATCGAAAGTAAAATGACTTTTGAAAAGAGTTAACAAGTATCATGCTATAATAGACATCATTTAGCAAAACAAGAAAAAAACTGATCAAGGTTAATATACACCACAGATGAGAATACAATGCTATCTCTTCCCTCCTTCCTTAAAGTTCAAATTCCTCTCATATTCATGGACAATCACATCTTTGGTTTCACCACAGATAGTGCTTCAAGAGCAAAAAAAGAAACAAAGTAGTCTATTTTTTAAGAAACAATATATATGCCTAATATTTCTATAACAAAATGCCCAGTTATTGCTCAAACTTCTTCTCTTGCAGCTTTCCTGCTGATTAGGGTGGTGTTAGCTTAGCTTCAAAACTGACCCCACAGATACACACATGCAGCAATTTCCCCCGCAGCACCGTGAGGAGGGGGAACTGCAAACATCTAGTAATCGACATTGAATAAAACATATCTTCGAAACTACACAGAATGTAAGTCTTCAGTACTTTTATATTTAATGTGTAATCTATGATGTGCTGCTTTATAAATGTTTCACATTGCTTTATTTTTGAAGTTTCACCTTGCCAAGTACACTGCTAAATAATTCCAGGGCAAGGACCAAATTTTGCGCACGAGAGTGTATGTGTGTGACAGAGAGAAAGAGAGAGAAAGTTCTTTGTAAAGAGCTCTGTACACTTTGCTAAGTGCTCTATGTGTTTACTAAGGTCTTGTTAAACTCACTGTAAAGCCACCTGTCATGCTACTGAGAAGCAAAGGTGTAGCTAAATTGGAAATACAAGCATTGATCTTGTTAGCGGCAGCATAAAAATAATTCAAGAAGTGGAAAAAAACTAAACACATAAGGAAAAAAATTTATCATCAGATGGCTAGCATGTTCCTTTTATATAAGATTGTTAGTAAGTTGTACATGGAAGGATATTAAATTAAAGGAAAATATGGTTTCCTCTATTTTATATGCAATTATAGGAAAATTAAGGCCAAATTCTCAAAATATTTAAAAAGTACTGGATGACTAATAGAAAGCTTTGGGACCAACAATGACCTTATCAATAATTTAATCATTTTTATCCCAACTGGATTTAGTTCATACATATATTCACCACACACAAAATTTCCTGTGCTATTTTGGGCATTCTTCATTGAGCTTAAAAGCCAAGGAAAAATTCAGTTCTTTATGGAATGAGTTACCAATGGAAATTATTTCAGTAGCTTTTGTATTCTTAGAAAGGAAAACTTACTCTAAGAAATGAGGTCTTACAAAGAAGTCACTCGTAAAATTAACATGCTTTTACTGCAGTTAAAAATATTTAGCGAGTTTAAGTTACACTTAAGGGTGGCATTAAACCTTCCTTTTCCCCTTACAGATAGCTTCAGTTTAATTGCTCGATACTATTAATCTTGCTTTATGTATGTTACACCTGCAGATTGCAATGCTCGGAACTGTATACATTTCATCACTTGTGATAATACAATAATTTATATTTTACCAGACCTACTTAGTAATTAAAATCTACACAAACAAAAAAGACCAACTGAGGTATTAAATTTAATAATAAACTACCCAAAGACAGGACAGTTTCTATGTTTGCACTTATAACACTATTCTCAATTTTAAATTTCTGTGTAATGAAGCTGCTATCCCCAGGGGATCAGTAACTCCTGATGGTGTTATTGCTTGGTGAATGACCCATGGAAACACCAAGAGAAATCCATTTTTTACCAATCAGTTTATGAAAATGACCAATTTGACTGAGGTTTAAATAAACATAGCCTTAATCCAACATGGCTCTAGTGGGTTATACATGCAGAAAGGAATTTTTATACCTGATCTTCATTTCCTTTTATTTTCCTTTAACGACCCTTCAGTGAGATATGGTATAGCCACCTTAGAAGAACAAGTTAAGTAGAAAAGGTATATTCAATTTAATTTAACAAATATCATAAGAGCATATTAAGTAACCTGTGATCACGAAATGATAGCATTGAGTAAGCATACTGGAACACAAAAGGGCAACGTTAAAATTTTTGCTTAATGATATTAATTTTGTCTTTTGCTTCCTGTTCATTTGCACTTTTCAAAGCTAACAATTAATTTTTAAATAATCTATGCCTGCTAGTGAATAAGCACAGAATCCAAATTCTGCATTAGTATCAGAGAAAAACAAAAGCAAACCAAAGTGTCCACGTTGGTGGGTGGCATCTCCTCGACAGAGTTTAGGCTCTTTTATTGGGTTCCTTTGTGCTCAGTCCTTTTTAAATTAATTTTATCCTGAGTTTTCCTTTATATCAACACTGTTAAAACGGTCTTGAAATTAGAACCAAATATTGCAGTTTTTATAATTAGGGTCACAAGCCATTCTCATCTTTAATTCTAACTTCTTTGGAGAGCAAAGCTACAAAAGACGGAAGCCAAAATAAATCATTTTTTCTAATTTCACCTTTATTATTCCTCTAACGGCTCCCCAGAATGTATGATTGGAGGATGCGTAGCCTGTTTTCTAATTTTTTTTTTACCTAGTCAACTATTTCAATTTGGTCCTCTTAAAAATATTTGGGATCTGCATGCATTACAGAAAGATTTGAATACTTCAAACCCATCAAACTCTGCTTCAAAAATAGAAGGAA